GTAATAGTAGATCAGTTTAGTCGGTGGCCTGAAGCTTTTGTCACCAATACAGAAGATGCGAAAACTGTGGTGAAAAAACGCGCTATAGAAATAATACCCAGATATGGTTGTCCCTTACAGATTAATTCTGATAATGGACCGGCTTTTGCTAGTAAGGTCACTCAAGAACTTGCTAAATGGCTACAGGTGACATGGCAGTTTCATGTACCCTATCACCCTCAGAGCTCAGGGGTAGTTGAAAGGATGAATAGGACTATCAAAGAGAAACTCATGAAGGCAACGAAACAGACATTGGTTAATTGGCAAAGGTATCTTCCAGCTATTTTAGCTGAGATACGAATGACCCCTCATAAGGTTACCAAATGATCTCCTTTTGAGATCCTAATGGGTAGACCATTTCCAACACCGTGGGCCAGGGAACTATTAGTCATTATGCATAGTTATTTAGAGATAATTCAGGAACATTATGTTAAGGAATTGTTGATAAAGTTGAATGGTATATATGACAATGTTCCTTCACAGTTTCCTTTACCTTCACAGGAACCTACCCATCCCTATCAACCTGGAGACTCTGTGTGTATCAGGCAGTTGAACAGGACAAAGAAAGGAGGCTTCCCATTCGGTCCCCCAACCACTGTCATCGCCGTAACCCGCACTGCAGTCCTAGACTACTCCCAAGATCTGTGGATCCACGCATCACGAGTAAAACTGTGTCCAAACAGGGGAGCCAAGACCCGACTGGAGTGTCCAGAACCAGTAGTACCTGAACTTGTTGTTCTTCTGTGTGACATACCATGGCTCAAATAAGGAGAAAAAAGACAGAGTGGCCACCTCATAGAAAGCAAAATCATGATTTTGGCAGTCATCACCTTTATCTTTGTATTGCCTTTTACTATCTATCTAAATTACCATTATGAATACAAGAACTTGGGCAATCTGAAACCAGTGTGCTTTTGGAAACATAATGGGTCTCTTCAGGAGACCAAAGAAACAATGGACAATTCTTCATTATCCTCCGGAGCCCAATTAGACCTTAATTATTCATCTAGTATAAGACACCCCCATTCCCCAGATACTGATTGCTCATCTGAAGTTCCACTCAAGTATCAAATTGAACTGAACAGTAAGGGGAAGACTGTCGCTACTTGGGCCATATATATACCCAGTTATCTTTGCACATATACTAGAAAACCATATACACAACAGTTTGGAATGTCCACAGGATGGAATTGTGCCACGGAAATAACCAGTAATACTAATGATAGGTCTTTGTATTCATATCAGTCACAGTCATGGGAAGACCTCACATCACTAAAAAGGAAGATTGAGAATAATACACATAAAAGACCCCATAAGAAAGTACATGCCGAAGTTCCCAGTGCAGTTCTCAATAATTCCCATTCACCCACTAGCCAGTGTAACAACACTGTTCTACTCATATGGCCTGAAGGCACTATCCTGATTTTAGTTTTAAAGGTCCTGAACCATGGATATTTTACTGTGACCTCGTTCCTACAACCACCAAGGATCTAGTTTTTACTACCTCTGGTGATTCCTCCCTAGGGGACGCCCCTACTCCCCTAGGATACTTATGTAACGGAGCTCCCTGTACTCCGACCGAGTACCCTCCGTTGATGGATGCTCCTAGCGCTTCCTGAGGACTCCAAACACTGCAGCCGACACCACAACCACCGCAGACTCCACAACCGCTGTAGCTTAACTGGAGTCTCGCCGTCTTCCTTCCACCCTGGATCAGCTTCTGTCCTCCAGGACCGTGTGGGGAAGACCTCTCCTCCAGGAGAGCGTAACAGGAACAGCTCTTAAAAGAGCTAAGTGATTAAAAGCTCAGGGGAGTATGCAGAGCATAGCAATCCCCAGTGTGATATAGCAGTTCCCTCCAATAACGAGACAAGGCTACGTATTGAGGGTCAAGAAGATCTGATGTTTAATGGCACACACTCTGCTTTTATGAGATTCTGCCCATGCAAGGGAGACACCCACATAATTAGCAGTATAACCAATCGGAACAATATACATTCGGGGAAATTCCCATCCCTCAGATAATCACATAACATTATTAAAACAGAACAGTAAAAATACAGTTTTTATACATGTACTATAACTTCCAAACTACACATCCAATCTTCATAAAAATTACATATTTGGAATCAATCCATTAAGGGGAGCAACATATTAAAAATGGCACAAATCAGACAAGGGGTTCAAAAGTTAGCAAAAGTGTCTTTTGGGGCCTGGCTGGCAGCATGGTTTTCTGGCCCAAACCGGTTTTACAGAGGCCTCTATCCTGGACAATGGGGAAAGTAATCCAATTATCCAGGGATAGAGGCAGACTCCATTAACCACATGTTAGCAAAAGACACAAAAAGACACAAAAATACATAACTCCTATTGAACTGAACAGAACCCCCACATTCAACCTATCCCCAGATGGCTTGGATCTGAGCGCTCAATATATCCAAACAGCGCTCAGATCCCACAAATACAGTCAAATCGCCATACACACTAGGTCCATAGTCATGGGGCAGAAGGCTGGCAATTAGGCTTCTCCATAACACAGGGAAGTAGGGCAATTTGTCAAATAAAATAACAGTTACAAATGGCAGTTTGTAACAACTTACAAAATACTTGTGCTACTGACAACTCAGTCCAGTGTATGTCACTTCACCCTACTACCGGTTATAGGCTTAGACCAACCACTACACCTCCTTATACACCTCACCCTAAGGTAAAAAGGTCTCTACCCCCTATACCATATGTCCCTCAACATAACGTTCTATGTAGTGATAGACATGAATGGAGTTGGAGCAAGAGTGATATGAATCGAACTCAAGGTAATTTTTCCTGCCCTACAAACCAAACGTGTCAAATTTATAATATAACAAGAAATTTCCAGCAGAAGGATGTAAAATTATGTAATATAAAATCGCAATGGTGCATGATTGTAAAACTGAGAAAACCGCTGCTGGAAACTGTTCTGTTCAAATCCATAATAATACTGGGTTCTGTGCCACTGCTTTTGCTATAGATGTACCTTCGATGCAAACTACCTTTTGGGATATATGGCAAACTTGGTATAGGGCCAATAATAAGACAACTAATAATGCATGTAATGATGCCAGTTTAATTAAAGGATCCAATGACAATTACACCATAACCTGGCAAGAAGGACATTACCCATACACCAGTTGCCACCCACGTTCTCAAGGGCGAACTATTGAAAGTAAGTTCTAAAATCCAGGATGACTTGGCTGGTATGATATATTCACAGGTTATTCCCCCACAGGTGCTCAAATTGTTAGATCATTCTTTTATCCGTTGGTGATAGTTGTATTTGTAATGTTACTTATGAGACTGTACAATTTTTATCTTACTTGTACCCTGAAGAATAAGATTCAAAGGTTGATTACTACTGCCGAGGACAAACAGCTGGATACTCTCCTCCATGCTAGGTATTGTCCTGAGGGAACCGTGGGGAAGAACTAACTAAAGTCCCGCAGGATTGACTAGCAATCCTGAACATACCTCATGGACTTCACCCTATGTATGTAGATGTGATCAACAGATTGATCAAAGAGGGGATTGAAGTGTTAAACCCAACACATTGTCTGTATTCATGCTGACTATTTTGTCACAAGACATACTTTTGATGAAGAGTTCATCATACCATCGCTTAATTGATTCACTACTTCAGCACAACTCTCTCCACCTGGTTTTCCCACGCTGTGTAAAATGACAAAGAGCACTCTGATTGGCTTAAACCCACCAATCAGAGTGTTCTTAGCCTAATTGCAGGGCGGGGCAAGGCTTTATAAGCCTTCCCCCGCCCTGCGGAGCTCAGTCTGCGCGGAGCCCTCCATGGCAGCTGACTGCTGCCGATCAAGCTAGCCAACGATATTTTTTGTCGGGTTCATCTGTGTGGTCCCTGAGCCTGGCGTGCAGTGTGGCAGGTAGTAAGCTAACACTGGGAGACCCCATACTATACCCTTAGCCTGACCACATTTGCCAGATGGGTTTAAGAGCTCCTTGTTCCTTCTGCCTTTTTACACTTCGTTCATTTTTATTTTTATACACCTATATCCGGGTGTCTGATAGTCTTAAATATTTACTAACTCCAGTGGAGGGGCCCCTCACTGGAGTTTTATTTAACCTGTTTGGGATAAAAAAAATAAATTATATATGGGTTTATGTATTTGATGTCATATTATTGTGATTTTGTGGCTATGTCTATTGATGCATTTGCTTAGAAGGCTACTGAGCGATATCGTAGCCAACTGAATTACATTTAGCTACTATTTCTGACACAACCTTGTGATACTGTCATTTCTGATTTACATTTAGCTACTTTTATATTTTGTTATTGTTAAGACACCCCTGGCACAAAGGAGTGAAACCGCCGTTTAGTTAAGCTTCCCCTATTCGCAATAATGCAAACTCCATTCGTATAGACTCCAACCGTACGAAATGCAATCAGGGGAATGCTCCAATCTCCCGAACGGGACCCGTACGGGTGCTCCAACTCCCGAACAGTAAACCCACGAATCGCTGCTAACAGCCGCATAAATATATCCTCCAAGCGGCTTACGCTTCCATCAAACAGTCGCTATACGTGTGTAGTAAATCCTCCCAATAACCAGACCAAGTTCCGAATTAAGGGTAAAACAAGAACTGGCTTTACTGTGGGCTACCCGCCCATATTTATGCAGGTCTCCCACTTGGTGGACACTCCCCTAGGGGACCAAATGGGAGACTGTAATGGCAGACAGACATATAGCATGTTAGAACACACAGGCACAGAATATTCCCAGCATGCATCATGATTTCCTCCCCTCTGCCCTGGAGATAATTGAGAATGAATTAAATTATCTCCTAGGATTATCTCCCATCGCCATTTTAAATAAAGCCTGAAAAACACATAAAAATAAATAATTACACAACTACCGAACATATTATATTTGTGTAACACATCCCCAGATAGCCTGGATCTGAGTGCATATTCTTAGCGAATAGCGCTCAGATCTAGTGATGTCCCGAACGGTTCGCCGGCAAATAGTTCCCGGCGAACATAGCTTGTTTGCGTTCGCCATGGATGGCGAACATATGCGATGTTCGGTCCGCCCCCTATTAATTTACTAATACTAAGTAAAAATTACTTAGTATTAGTAAATTGTGCCCCTACTCGCAATACCGCGAGTAGGGGCATGTTTATTAAACAGCCTGTGGCTGCTCACTGTTAAAAAAAAAAAAGGGTCCCCCCCGGGTGGGAGCTCTAAATATTAATAGGGGGAGGAGCCAATTGTCCCCCCCGGCCCCCACCCCTGAGCGGTGGGTGGGGGCCCTAAAATGAACAATAAGGGGGGGACCTATTGCCCCCCCCGGCCCCCACCCCTGAGCAGTAGGTGGGGGCCCTAAAATGAACAATAAGGGGGGGACCTATTGTCCCCCCCCTGGCCCACACCCCTGCGCGGCGGGTGGGGGCCATATTGATAATGAGGGTGGGGACCTACTGCCCCCCCCGGCCCCCACCCCTGCACGGTGGGTGGGGGCTATATTGATAGTGAGGGGGGACCTACTGTCCAGCCCCCTCCGGCCCCCACCCCTGGGCGACGGGTGAGGGCCATAAAGATAATGAGGGGGGGGACCTACTGTCCTCCCCCCCCGGCCCCCACCCCTGGGCTGCGGGTTGGGGCCCTAAGTAAACTCTCCCCCCACAGGTGACTAGGGGTCCCCAAGCCCCTAGTCACCCACCCCCCCCAAATAAAAAGTCCCTACCTCACCTAAAAATAGTGAGGGGAATAAAATAACTAACCTGTAAAATAAAATTAAACTTACCATTCGACGTCTTCTTTTTTCTCAAATCTTCATTTTTCAGCCCCAAAAAAGGCCAAATAAAACCCATAACCGTCAAACAAAAAAAAATCAAAAAAATCCAGAGAGCAAAAAAAAAAAACCCGACGAAAAAGAAAAAACCAGAGCGCAAAAAAATTATCCATCTTCACCCATGGAGGGCTCCGCGCAGACTGAGCTCCGCAGGGCGGGGGAAGGCTTATAAAGCCTTGCCCCGCCCTGCAATTAGGCTAAGAACACTCTGATTGGTGGGTTTAAGCCAATCAGCGTGCTCTTTGTCATTTTACACAGCGTGGGAAAATTCAAAAGAACTTTCCCACGCTGTGTAAAATGACACAGAGCACTGTGATTGGATGAATTTCAAGCCATCCAATCACAGTGGAAAATTCAAAAGAACTTTCCCACGCTGTGTAAAATGACACAGAGCACTGTGATTGGATGAATTTCAAGCCATCCAATCACAGTGCTCTGTGTCATTTTACACAGCGTGGGAAAATTCTTTTGAATTTTCCCACGCTGTGTAAAATGACAAAGAGCACACTGATTGGCTTAAACCCACCAATCAGAGTGTTCTTAGCCTAATTGCAGGGCGGGGCAAGGCTTTATAAGCCTTCCCCCGCCCTGCGGAGCTCAGTCTGCGCGGAGCCCTCCATGGGTTATTTTTTTGCGCTCGGGTTTTTTCTTTTTCGTCAGGTTTTTTGGCGCATCGATTTTTTTTTTTAGTTCGACGGTTATGATGGTTTTTTATTTGGCCTTTTTTGGGGCTGAAAAATGAAGATTTGAGAAAAAAGAAGACGTCGAATGGTAAGTTTAAATTTATTTTACAGATTAGTTATTTTATTCCCCCCTCACTATTTTTTAGGGTGAGGGGGGTAGGTAGGGACTTTTTATTTGGGGGGGTGGGTGACTAGGGGCTTGGGGACCCCTAGTCACCTGGAGGGGGGAGAATTTACTTAGGGCCCCAACCTGCAGCCCAGGGGTGGGGGCCGGGGGGGAGGACATTAGGTGTCCCCCCCTCATTATCAATATGGCCCTCACCTGCCGCGCAGGGGTGGGGGCCGAGGGGGGCAGTAGGTCCCCCCCCTCATTATCAATATGGCCCCCACCCGCCGCGCAGGGGTGGGGGCCGGGGGGACGACAATAGGTCTCCCCCTTATTGTTCATTTTAGGGCCCCCACCCACCACTCAGGGGTGGAGGCTGGGGGGGGGGACAGTAGGTTCCCTTCTTATTGTTCATTTTAGGGCCCCCACATACCGCTCAGGGGTGGGGGCCGGGGGGGACAGTAGGTCCCCCCCATTGTTATTTTTAGGGCCCCCACCCACCGCTCAGGGGTGGGGGCCAGGGGGGACAGTAGGTCCCCCCTTATTGTTATTTTTAGGGCCCTCACCCGCCGCACAGGGGTGGGGGCCGGAGAGGGGGAGGACTGTAGGTCCCCCCCTCATTATCTTTATGGCCCCCACCCGCCAGAAAGAGTCCCTGTGGGTTTTAAAATTCGCCTGCCTATTGAAGTCTATGGCGGTTCGCCGGGTTCGCCCGGTTCGCAAACATTTGCGGAAGTTCGCGTTCGCGATTCGTGAACCGAAAATTTCATGTTCGCGACATCACTACTCAGATCTCATACGCACATTTCAATCGCCATGGAGTCAAAGTCTATTACAGTCTTTCGGTATGCGATTGACGGGAAGGCTATCTAGGTTAAGTCCATTTGTATAATCCAAACTCTCGAACGGCCGGTGTTCGCATGCCTTGTCGACTAAGAACGGCGGTCTAGTTCCATAGAATGTTTTTAGTTCCATAGAACGTTTTTAGTTCCATAGAATCTGCGCAGAACACCGCTGGTCTTTCGCATGGTTTAAAATGGCTTAAAATGGCCGCCGCCTCGTGGTTGACATACGAACGACGACCACCCTGCATTCGGTTGTAATTAAGAGGTGTCTGCGGTTAACCACAACGTTCTAATTGGGATCAAGAGGTTAACCAGCAGCACACTTCTCTTCTGGGTGGCCGTCCATTTGGTAAGTTCATTCGGTAAATATTTAAACAGACGAATAAGGGTATACGGACAGGCAATTCCACGAAGGGGAGTTAAACTAGACAAACCAGCAATATTAGGTATGCTCCTAAAATTGGGTGCAATAGGGTCCAGGAGTCAAGTCACTTAGAAAGGCTTCTCTCTGTTTAAATAGTTAAGAGGAGTATACAGCTAATATATATAGGGTGTATGACTTTAAATCTGCTAAAGGCAGAATCAAATTGGTACACACCAGATTGCGCTACTTATAACTTAAAGATATAAACTGTAGAAAGAGATATAGGAAGACAGTATGAGGAACTGTTTCCTATTTAGTAAAAAGCTTATATAATAAGAGATGTGTATATCTTTAAATCTGTGACTGGTAATGTAACGGAACCGCTGGCACCCCGACCGGGTACCTTCCGCCGACAGATGCTCCTAGTGCTTTCCGAGGACTCCAAGCACTCTGCCTGACACCATAACCACTGCAGACCCCACGAACCGCCGCAGCTTGCTTGGGGTCTCGCCGTCTCCACCCATTCTGGACCCAGGACCAGGGTCCAGCTTCCAGCAGGTCGACCTCTCTCCGAATTCCAGAGAGCAGGAACAGGAACAAGCTCTTAGCAGAGCTTAGTGATTATACCCTGGGGAGTATAGTGATTATAGCAATCCCCAGAGTGTAGTTTCTCCAATCCCCCAAACATGAGCCGAAACTTCATGAAGGTACAAGATGATCTGTTTATTGGCACACAAAGAACCTTCTTTTATGCAGGTCCCCATGCAATGGGACATCCCACAGGGTGGGACACAGTACAACCAATCACACAATGGTTACATCCCACACATCTCCTCCCCTTAGCCTGAGAGGTAACCCAATTATCCATACATTTTAAAACACACTTTTTACCCAACTTTCATAACTCTAAAACTATACATCACATTCACATAAAACTACATATTCACAATCCATCCATTCAGGGGAACAACATATTAAAAAATGGCCTGAATCAGACCAAGGGTTCAGAAGTTAGCACAAGTATCTTTTGGGGCCTGGCTGGCAGCATGGCTATCTGGCCCAAACTGGTTTCAGAGTCTTCTATTCTGGAGATAATTGAGAAGTAATGCAATTATCTCCAAGGACAGAGGCAAAACTCCATTAGCCACATGGCAGACAAAGGATAACAAAAGACATAAACATACATACTGTTACATTTATCACATAGAACCTACACATTTCCAATTTACCAACCACATAATAGCATATATAATATTGAAGACCACCTGAATGCAATCTGCTACACAGTCTTAAAGGGACATTGTTTCTAAAAGTCATAATATGTCCAGGGATGTTTTTTAAAGGGCCAGCAGCAGCACCATACAAATCCAATATGCCCAAATATTGTACTTGAAAGGCAAAATAACCCAGGGCCATAGTCATGAGGCAAGAGGCTGGCAATCAGGCTCCTCCAACAGCCAGGGGAAAATCCGGTGACAAAAAGGTGTTTCGTCACAGGTAAAATATGACAAAATCTATGTCAATATCACACATTGTAATGTAAACTGAAAAATATAGAAACTAAATGTAAAACATATACAGTTATACTGTTGTATTATTAAAATGTATAAATCAATGAGAATAATAGAATTAAAATGATATAAAGTTTATTGTGCAGTAAAAATGCTAAAAAAATATATTCAAATGAGGACAAAAATAACAAATAAAAAATATATATTCAAATGTGGACAAAAATTAAAAATAAGAATCAGGAACGTATAGCAAGAATATTACCAGCACTTCAGCAGTCCTAGTTTCAACTGAACCGCAGGGACCATCCAGGATGGATATGGATACAGTGTAGCATTCACTGTAATCTCTGGCTGTCGGCTGTGAGGTTGGCGTGCGTCCCAGACCTCACTCTGAGAGATGCACGCTTGCCGGCCGGTCGGTCCCCAGATGCTTTGGTATCACACTCTCAGTGAGGAGGTGTTGTTTGTTGCTGGTTTGCAAAACTTCTGCGTCCGTATCCTGTTCGGTCTAACGCGTTTCGTGGGTGTCAGCCCCACTTCATCAGAGACGGGATGAAGATTCAATTGCCCATGTTGAATAAATATACATAAAACAATATAAAATATGTGTATACATATTGATACATAAATCAATGAGGCGAAGTATTTGGTGAAACTTCTGCCCATATCCAGTTTGAGACTTTTCACTGCAAGTCGGACTCCCTCACCTCTGGGTGTTGCAATAGG